GTCGAGTCTCTGACTCATATTCCAAACCTATACTGCTTTCTCCGCAATAATTTCATTTATTAACTTGGGCCTCATACGCTTATTCCGTTGTATAGAGCAAAAGCTTCAAGGTTTGTAAAGGCTTCATATTCTTGTGCTATTAACTTTATTTTTCCATGTGTTCTTGTTTACTGTCACCGAACGTGAAAAAAATAACCAACTAATGTGTATTATCTCCTCCATATTAGTAGCACCCTCCATATTAGTAACACCAAAAGGTAAGTTCCAATTTCCTTAATTCTTCTTTTTTCCCTTCTGCTCTTATTCTGACTACATTATTATAGATATTTCCATTGAAATAATAAAGCAATTAATTCAAAGTCCTGATCAACTTCCTCATAAATCCGACTTGACAAATTTCCTTAACGAAAATCCTCCAGTAAAAATACCGCTTGCTCCTAATCTTTTTTACCAAATTAGTACTACGGGTCCAGATGGTATAACTGAAGAAGAACGAGATACATATTTTATATTAAGTACAGAAGCGGAGTGTACATTTCTTTTTGCAAAACTTTTAGGACAGTTAATTTACCCTCCCTCATATGGAAAAACTGAAGATTCGTATCATTATTTGTGGGATTGTATTATTAAAAACACTTTAGAGTTATTTGGAATGCATATCGCTAGTTTACCAACTTTGGAATTTGATCGCAATACCAACAAACGAACCTCAACAGGTAAATTAAATAATGTGATTGATAAGTATAATATATATTAACAAAAAAAATTCATAGGTCGCAATCGTCCAGACATGGTTGTATTAGTGAGAAACGTTTGTCCTTTTCGAGGTGAAGAAAAGTCCCGGGAAGAAGCAGGAGATCCTTCAAGTGAATTAGTTGATAAGATCAAAGATTGGACCTATGGAGATGCACCATATATTTTTGCATACTATGCTATTGGCGCTCAAGTCACATTTGTTGCTTTGTATAAGCCTGAAAATAAGAAGAGAAAACTCAACATTTGCTCTGAACGAATTGCGGAGTTTGATTTAGGGCGTTTGTCAGATAGAATTCGCATTATGAATTTCCTTCGAAATATTTGTAAGTTTTTTTTGAGCTTTAAATTGTTATCACAAAGTACTAATTTATCATATGGTTATTTAGGTCGTATATTACCTATAATAGTGAATTTATGCCCTACTAGGGATTCACCAGAATTTCAAACAATGATTCGACCAAATGGAACTATTATCGAACTTGGGTATGCGATTAAGAAAAAATTTGCAGACGAAGAACAAGTTACACATTTAAAAGAAATTTATGGAATGTTACGTGTAAGTTCAAAATTTTCAAAAATTTCACCTTTTTTAGGATACGCTCTAACTATTTATTCCTAACTATTTATGTAGGCAAATGATATTAGGTTTTCCGACAAATTAGAACATTCATCTACACATTCTATTAATTTGTCGCCACGTGGAGAACAACGAGAACCAAATGATCTCAAAGAATTACTGCAAGCATTAATTTGTATACTAACTTGTTTGAAGGTAGAGTTTGGTAATATTTTCAATATTACGTATACATATTATATTATACATTTTTATAATGTTCAAGCAGGGTATGCATGAAATTAAGCCCAAACCGATAATGCACAGAGATGTTCGATGGCCAAATATTATTCGCCATTACGACGGATATCAAAGATTTATTTTAATCGACTTTGACAATGCTACCTTTTCCCCTGCTGATGAGCCTTTAGAAGAATTTTCCGAAAGTGGTCATGCTCCTGAAATGCTGATTAAAAAGCATAATTATAAGGTTGATATATGGGGCGTTGGAAACTTAATTGGTTCATGTAATGTCACAGGCATCCCCCCAGAACTTTTAAGCTTCAGCACAGATTTGTGTAAACATAATCCAAATAATCGACCAACTACTTCAGTTGCTCTCGATCGGGCAAAGGATATGTTTAGAGAGGTAGTTATTTATAACAGATTAATCTTTGTTTTTTATTTGTAATATATCTTAACAAATTTTAAATTTTAGTGGTTTCCAAATGATGATTGGCTAGAAAGGATCGAAACTGCATAACGCATTTGGCCAGCTTAATCTGTAGTAAAGTTATTGGACTTTATTAATTAAGCAGGGTTAGAAAAATAAAATTAGCATAATAATAATAATTATTTCACCAGATGCTTTGGGTTCTTATTGTGAATATATTGTATTTTTTGTGTTCGAAAAACTGAAGCCTGCCCATATTTCTGGCTTTGTATTTAGCATGTGCTTGGTGTGACGGAATATTTCAAATTTCACCTATATAATCGCTTTTACTTTTGATTGTGTATTTCGAAATTTTATTGCATCGGTAAATATGACCGTTTTTACTTTTGAATGTATACTTCGAATTTTATTCGATGTTTTGATATCGATGCTACATATGATCGAAAATCTTTCTAGTAAAAAATAAAACACTACCGCAAAAATTCTTTAGCAGAAGTAGATCAAATTTTTTTGATATTTTCTAGATGAGAATGTTTTATATTTTTGTTTTGTTTTTTGTTGTACAAGTAAATCAGGCCGATTTCGTATGTATTCTTACCGATGTATACTAACCTACATATGATCGAGAATTTTTAAAAATTGGAATGAACAAAATGTTTTTATTTGAATATATTCGTATTTTATGTAAAACAATGGCAGATTCACAAACTACAATTGCTTCGCTAAGAGAATTAAATTCTAAACTTACAGTTGTGATTACTGAACTTAGAAAGAAGTATGCTAAGATCGAAGCTGAAAATACAAAGTTAAAGCAGATTATGGAAGAGAATACTGAATTTAAGACTAGGTTTTAGGAACAAGATAGGAAAAATAAAACAGATATTGCAAACTTTATAAATGAGAATACCGAACTCAAATCTAGGGTTTCGAAATTGAAACAAAAATTATCACATAATGACGAAGAAAAAGGTGCCCCTATTGCTAAGTTAGATGATGATACTGCATCTTACAAAACGAACTCTGATGATACCCCTGAACAGATAAAAAATATATCTAACAATATTTCTAATTCTGATATATTCCAGGAGTCGAATATTCAATATTCTAAATCACTTATTCATACAGAGTCTGAATCTTCTGAAAATAAAGAGATCAAATTTCTCAATCGAATACATAGAGAAACTGTTAGCAATGAAATAAAAGAGAGAAATCAGGAAAAGAAGCTTCAAACCCAAAGTTCTTTATCATATAATAAAGATAATTCATCATGTAATATAAAAACCATTTTCTAGAGAAATGATTGTAATAATATTGAAAGTAGTATAGATATTGCTTTCCAAATAAGCAATCTGCAAAAAACTATTCCCAATACTCCTTTATTGGTGGAAGATCTTGATAATTTTGATGAAATTGAGCTTAAAATCAAAATATAGAACTAGATTTAATCCAAGATTTACAGAATTGTATGCTTATTGTTTCACATGATCCTATAAAAATACCTTTTGAAGACATCGTGGATAGTGAAAGCCATCCTCTAAAATTACAACACAAAGCTTAATCTATTTATTTAAGAAAGCAATAAGATCTGGGCATCAAGAAATTTTATCCTGGATTTGCTATTCAGATAATTTTGAAAATAAAGTTATTGAAATTTGATATAAGGCAGGATTAACAATAAAACTGCAAGAACCCAAATATATAAAGAAATGTTAGAACATTTACCAGGCATTATATTGGTTGCCTTGCGAATTAAAACTCTTAGGGCCAGAAAAATTCGTAAACTATTTAATTGGAATTGATAAGATTAAGTATGTTACCTGCAGTGCAAATGATATTTCAAAATTAACCATTGCACAAATTCAAAACATTATAAATCAAGTAACCTCAAAAATCATTTCCTTAAGAAATAATCAAAATCATGTGACTGAAACAGAGGCAAGTATTACAAACATACTCTCTATCTTGTTGTCTTATATCTCTAATTCGGAATATATAATAAGTAAGGATAACAAATCTTTACTGGAGACTAAAGTAAATATATTATTCAATCCAGCTTATAGCCATGCTTATTTTCATAATAAAACATTGGATCAGTATCCTAATTTATATTGGAAGGTAGTAATAAAAACGACGATTATTATAGAATTACTGATAAATCTTTATGCTCATTATGCAAGTTAGATAATGATGATGATAATGGTATAAGAGGCAGATATGAAGTTGAATCCTACTATATTAAATGTGAACAGCATAGAATTGAAATTGAGGTAACAGCATAAACTTTAAACTTATATTAGCACAATTTGTTTAAGTCTTCTAAGGCATATTTATTTTTTTGTTAGTTATTATTAATTTAGAAAAATGTGCAGTCATATACATAAAACGAGAACATAGATACATAGGCAAAAGCTAATAAAATATTGATTCCTGAATATTTTGAATAGAAAGCTAAATTAACAGAATTGTCAGATATGTTGACAGATAAAATTCGTTCTAGGTTATATAAAAGGTATAAGAATAAAACTGGATTCGATCTTTGGATAAAGTCTGAAAATCCGAAACTTCTACAAATCAAATGACTGATAATTGTATTTTACAGAACAGTGCACCAGAAAGCCAGATAAGGGTACAGCAAAGAAATGTTCAATTTACACTATCTAAATGACAATTTACAATTTCTGTTCTATCTAAAGACCTGAAAGAAAGATAACAACACATTATTAAAATGGTATTAGAACAATTTCTTTATTTAACTTTGAAACATAGTTTTAAATATAGTAATTATTTTGATTTTAATAGATCTGTACTCTGTTTTATATGCAATAAAGACTATAAAAAAGAAAATATAAGTTACAATATAGAGAATTTATGGGGGAATGGCAATTATGTTAATACAAAAACTTATTATCTCTATTGTTATATAAATAAATATCAGAATTCAATTCTAATAATAAAAGTAAAAGCATAGGTTAATAAGTAGAGTCCATTCACATGATCAGTTAAAAAAAATGTTAAGCCTACTGAACTCTTTTTTATTTCATAAAAAAATTGTTGAAATGGTATACAAATAAAAAAAATATACCACAGTTGTATACTGCAAACAAAAATATGAACTATTTATTAATTTTGATTTAGCTTTTCTTGTTATTATCCAGGATTTACATACTCATTGAAATCATTTTCCTCACACCATTCCAAATTTTCTTCTAAAAAATTGTTCAAGTGTTTGTCTTCATCAACATTATAATCATCATCTTCTCTGAGGTTATAGTTTAAATTGTCTAATTTAATGCACAAACATGGCCTGATAAAATAAGTTTTAGTTTTAGTTTTACAAATATATAAAGAGTGCTTTCTAATAAGTTACCTTCTACTATATCTATTTTTCCTACTTCTATGTTGATAATTGGAATTAGATGTCAATTGGCTAGGTCTTGGATTGGGTGGTGTTTGAGAGATATAATAGTTCTCAAAGGGGTTACTATCATTAGTCATAAAGATAATAGTGTTATTACTCATAGTGGTGGCATTATTAGTCTTAAGGGTAGTGTTGGTATCATTAGGCTTGAGGGTAGTATTAGTGTTATTAGTCTTGATGATGGTGGTTTTTTTTTACTACTCATTTTTCATACCTAAATACAAAAAAAATCATAGTAAGAAAAAAATTCAGTTTCATAGTTGAAGTAAAATGAAATAATACAAATTACTTAAAAAAAATATACAGACAAGTGAATCAGATAAAAAATATATAAGCAAAAAATAACATTATTGGTAACCCATCTTAAGCGATTATTGAATCT